AACCACAGTAGACCACACCCACACCATAACCACACCATAACACAGTAGACCACACATAACCACAGTAGACCACACATAACCACAGTAGACCAACACCATAAACCACAGTAGACCACACCATAACCACATAACCACACCATAACCACAGTAACCCACATAACCAATAACCACAGTAACCACACCATAACCACAGTAGACCACACCATAACCACAGTAGAACCACACCATAACCAAAACAGTAAAAACCACACCCATAACCACACCATAACCACAGTAGACCACACCATAACCACAGTAGACCACACCATAACCAAACAGTAGACCACAACCATAACCAAAAAGAGAAAACACAATAACACCATAACCAAGTAGACCACACCATAACCACAGTAGAACCACACCATAACCACAGTAGACCACACCAACACCACATAACCACAGTAGACCAACCATAACACAGTAGACCACACCATAACCACATAGAACACACCAAACACATAACCACAGTAGACCACACCATAACCACAGTAGACCACACCATAACCACAGTAGACCACACCATAACCACAGTAGACCACACCATAACCACAGTAGACCACACCATAACCACAGTAGACCACACCATAACCACAGTAGACCACACCATAACCACAGTAGACCACACCATAACCACAGTAGAGACCACACCATAACCACAAGAGACCACACCAAACCACAGTAGACCACACCATAAACCACAGTAGACCACACCATAACCACACAGTAACAAACCATAACACACATTTAGACCACACCAATAACCACAGTAGACCACACCAATAACCACACCATAACCACAGTAGACCCCCCATAACCAACATACCACAGTAGACCACACCATAACCACAGTAGACCACACCATAACCACAGTAGACCACACCATAACCACACCAGTAACCACATAGACCACACCATAACCACAGTAGACCCCCCACCATAAACCAACCATAACCACACCATAACCCACACCATAACCACAGTAGACCACACCATAACCACAGTAGACCACACCATAAACCCAAACAGTAGACCACAACCAATAACCACACCATAACCACAGTAGAACCACACCATAACCACAGTAGACCAACACCAAAATAACCACAGTAGACCACACCATAACCCAACATAACCACACAAAACCCAACAGTAGACCACACCATAACCACAGTAGACCACCCCAAATAACCACAGTAGACCACACCATAACCACAGTAGACCACACCATAACCACACCATAACCACACCATAACCACAGTAGACCACACCATAACCACAGTAGACCACACCATAACCACACCATAACCACAGTAGACCACACCATAACCACACCAAAAACCACAGTAGACCACACCATAACCACAGTAGACCACACCATAACCACAGTAGACACACAATAACCACAGTAGACCACAATAACCACAGTAGACCACACCATAACCACAGTAGACCAACCATAACACCACCATAACCACACCATAACCACAGTAGACCACACCATAACCACAGTAGACCACACCATAACCACAGTAGACCACACCATAACCACACCATAACCACAGTAGACCACACCATAACCACAGTAGACCACACCATAACCACACCATAACCACAGTAGACCACACCATAACCACACCATAACCACAGTAGACCACACCATAACCACAGTAGACCACACCATAACCACAGTAGACCACACCATAACCACAGTAGACCACACCATAACCACAGTAGACCACACCATAACCACAGTAGACCACACCATAACCACAGTAGACCACACCATAACCACACCATAAACCACAGTAGACCACACCATAACCACAGTAGACCACACCCATAACCACAGTAGACCACACCATAACCACAGTGGGACCACACCATAACCACAGTAGACCACACCATAACCACAGTAGACCACACCATAACCACACCATAACCACAGTAGACCACACCATAACCACAGTAGACCACACCATAACCACAGTAGACCACACCATAACCACAGTAGACCACACCATAACCCCAGTAGACCACACCATAACCACACCATAACCACAGTAGACCACACCATAACCACAGTAGACCACACCATAACCACAGTAGACCACACCATAACCACAGTAGACCACACCATAACCACACCATAACCACACCATAACCACAGTAGACCACACCATAACCACAGTAGACCACACCATAACCACAGCAGACCACACCATAACCACCACATAACCACAGTAGACCACACCATAACCACAGTAGACACCACACCATAACCACAGTAGACCACACCATAACCACACCATAACCACAGTAGACCACACCATAACCACACCATAACCACAGTAGACCACACCATAACCACACCATAACCACAGTAGACCACACCATAACCACAGTAGACCACACCATAACCACAGTAGACCACACCATAACCACCCATAACCACAGTAGACCACACCATAACCACAGTAGACCACACCATAACCACAGTAGACCACACCATAACCACAGTAGACCACACCATAACCACAGTAGACCACACCATAACCCACCGTAGACCACACCATAAACCACAGTAGACCACACCATAACCACAGTAGACACACCATAACCACAGTAGACCACACCATAACCACACCATAAACCACAGTAGACCACACCATAACCACAGTAGACCACACCATAACCACAGTAGAACCACACCATAACCACAGTAGACCACACCATAACCACAGTAGACCACACCATAACCACAGTAGACCACACCATAACCACACCATAACCACAGTAGACCACACCATAACCACAGTAGACCACACCATAACCACAGTAGACCACACCATAACCACAGTAGACCACACCATAACCACAGTAGACCACACCATAACCACACCATAACCACAGTAGACCACACCATAACCACAGTAGACCACACCATAACCACACCATAACCACAGTAGACCACACCATAACCACAGTAGACCACACCATAACCACAGTAGACAACACCATTTCAACCCACACCCATAACCACAGTAGACCACACCATAAAGTTTACATACACCTTAGCCAAATACATTTAAACTCAGTTTTTCACAATTCCTGACATTTAATCCTAGTAAAAATTCCCTGTCTTAGGTCAGTTAGGATCACCACTTTATTATCAGAATGTGAAATGTCAGAATAATAGTAGAGAGAATGATTTATTTCAGCTTTAATTTTCCTTCATCACATTCCCAGTGGGTCAGAAGTTTACATACACTCAATTAGTATTTGGTAGCATTGCCTTTAAATTGTTTAACTTGGGTCAAACGTTTTGTGTAGCCTTCCACAAGCTTCCCACAATAAGTTGGGTTAATTTTGGGCCATTCCTCCTGACAGAGCTGGTGTAACTGAGTCAGGTTTGTAGGCCTCCTTGCTCGCACACACATTTTCAGTTCTGCACACAAATGTTCTATAGGATTGAGGTCAGGGCTTTGTGATGGCCACTCCAATACCTTGACTTTGTTGTCCTTAAGCCATTTTTTCCACAACTTTGGAAGTATGCTTGGGGTCATTGTCCATTTGGAAGACCCATTTGCGACCAAGCTTTAACTTCCTGACTGATGTCTTGAGATGTTGCTTCAATATATCCACATAATTTTCCTTCCTAATGATGCCATCTATTTTGTGAAGTGCACCAGTCCCTCCTGCAGCAAAGCACCCCCACAGCATGATGCTGCCACCCCCGTGCATCGCGGTTGGGATGGTGTTCTTTGGCTTGCAAGCATCCCCCTTTTTCCTCCAAACATAACGATGGTCATTATGGCCAAACAGTTCTATTTTTGTTTCATCAGACCAGAGGAAATTTCTCCAAAAAGTACGATCTTTGTCCCCATGTGCAGTTGCAAACCGTAGTCTGGCTTTTTTATAGCGGTTTTGGAGCAGTGGCTTCTTCCTTGCTGAGCAGCCTTTCAGGTTATGTCGATATAGGACTCGTTTTACTGTGGATGTAGATACTTTTGTACCTGTTTCCTCCAGCATCTTCACAAGGTCCTTTGCTGTTGTTCTGGGATTGATTTGCACTTTTCGCACCAAAGTACGTTCATCTCTAGGAGACAGAACGCGTCTCCTTCCTGAGCGGCATGACGGCTGCGTGGTCCCATGGTGTTTATACTTGCATACTATTGTTTGTACAGATGAACGTGGTACCTTCAGGCGTTTGGAAATTGCTGCCAAGGATGAACCAGACTTGTGGAGGTCTACAATTTTTTTCTGAGGTCTTGGCTGATTTCTTTTGATTTTACCATGATGTCAAGCAAAGAGGCACTGAGTTTGAAGGTAGGCCTTGAAATACATCCACAGGTACACCTCCAATTGACTAAAATTATGTCAATTAGCCTATCAGAAGCTTCTAAAGCCATGACATCATTTTCTGGAATTTTCCAAGCTGTTTAAAGGCACAGTCAACTTAGTGTATGTAAACTTCTGACCCACTGGAATTGTGAAATAATCTGTCTGTAAACAATTGTTGGAAAAATTACTTGTGTCATGCACAAAGTAGATGTCCTAACTGACTTGCCAAAACTATAGTTTGTTAACAAGAAATTTGTGTAGTGGTTGAAAAACAAGTTTTAATGACTCCAACCTAAGTGTATGTAAACTTCAGACTTCAACTGTAGATGAGGCCAGGAGATAATAGCTTAATGTACTCTGGGTTCACACACACACACACACACACACACACACACACACACACACACACACACACACAGAGGCTAGGCTACATTAAGCTAGGCTAGGCTACAATAAGCTAGGCTAGGCTACATTAGGCTAGGCTACATTAAGCTAGGCTAGGCTACATCAGGCTAAGCTACATTAAGCTAGGCTAGGCTACATCAGGCTAAGCTACATTAAGCTACGTGTCACTGTGTACACCTGCAAGTAATGAAGTTGTCAGCTTTTCACAGAGGATCTCATGATAACCTGATCACAAGGCGCACCACACACACACACACACACACACACCACACACACACACACACACACACACACACACACACACACACACACACACAGCGACACACACACAATAAAAGTCCAGAGATCAGTGTGAGGTGAGGTGTTCTGTTTTTATGAACAGTGATAGCCACCCGGGTCAGTCTTTTCACTGCTACAGTCTGACAGACAGACACACACACACACACACACACACACTGGGTTGTGTTGTGTATGACTGAACTGAAACAGAAGGCGTTACAGTACAGTGTGTGTGTGTGTGTGTGTGTGTGTGTGTGTGTGTGTGTGTGTGTGTATGTATCTGTGTGTGCCAGGGTGGAGAACAATGTGTTAGCCTGTCAAAATGTCATCGGCCATGCAGTACTCCTGTTCAATCAGAAATGAAACAGCTGCACAACAGAGGGAGAAAGCGGGGTGTTAAATGATTCCCCCTCTCTCTGTCCCCTGTGTGATTCTGTTGATATGGTGCCTTGCTGGCTGATCGCTCCAGCGGGCACCTCCCTGGCCACCTAAAGGCCTTGTTCTCCTCATCATCAGGACCCTGGGTAACCCGGGTAGGTTACCCTAACCAGTTGGGTCTCTGTCAGGCTAAGGACTCCAGCCTAGCTGTTGTCACAGGTGGTCATGTCTAACACAGTGTTCGGGGTGGGGAATGAACACCAGCCACATGCTGGTAGATTTTGGCATTGGCTGGTTGAATGTCTATTCTTACCAGCCACACTCACAGAGCATTCCTGAGCAGTTTTTTATATATACACATTTGCGCTTCTCTGATTGGACATCCACGCAAGTTTTGATTCAAAATGATTGGCTGTTTAACATGTGCATGCATTTTCTGTGATTGATCTTCATTATTTATTTAGGAGAAAAATGTGGCTGGTAAAACATTTCAGTGGCTGGTAAAACATTTCAGTGGCCGGTAAAACATTTTACTAGACAGTCCAACAACCTCACGCCACGTGATTGCAAGGCAGAAGGGTGTTGTAGTGTTGCTGTTGGTCTGGTATTAGTGACTTGCGGGTGAGAAAGTGTTACTAATCATGCCTGTATCCTCAAGCATAAGTGCTTATACCCGCTTATACATTGACGTTGAATATCCTGGACAGTCAGCGACACGCCATGGACTGTTGCTCATATAGATGGGTAACGACTACCATAGAGCTGAGTATAGACTCCACTACATTTAAGATGGGTATGCTAACATAGGGTGGGTATGACACTAGCCCATGTGGCTAGATGTTATCAATCATGGACGGTGAGCACTACCCACATCCAAGAGACTGGCGTATAACATACACACTCGCTTGGACTGATTGACTCCCAGCTTGATTCCCATAATGAGTGGGTATACATCATGCACTATCCTGAGATCCGGATATATACACTGCCACACTAAATAGGCTGGTATACTATCATCAAGGACTGGAGATGAACTACCCGGTAGACCTACCATGGTCGGATATAGACACTCCACACTACCATAGGAACTGGGTTAGCATACCACCTACCATGAACTGAGTATAGACCTCCCACTACCATGAGCTGGTATGCTACTACCAAGGACTGGAGTATAGACATACCATACCATAGAGACTGGAGTATGACTACCATACCATAGAGACCGAGTATAGACATCACATCTGAGCTGGGATAGACACTGCATACCATGGCTGGAATAGACTACCATAATAGGAGAACAATGGCGGTAGAACACCACATACATGAGACTGAGTATAGACACACCCACTACAAGAACGGAGTATGCACTACACACTCCATAGAGACTGGGTTGACATCCACATCATAGGACTGGAGTAAGCACTTTCCACTCCATAGAGACTGGAGTATCACACATAGAGACTGGAGTATTAGGGAACTACCACACTACCATGAGACTGGAGTATAGACACTACCACACTACCATAAGACTGGAGTTAGACACTACCACACTACCATAGGACTGGAGTATGACACTACCACACTACCATAGAGACTGGTAGCCTCATATGGATCACAATCCAACCTATCCATAGAGACCGGAGTATAGACACTACCACACTACCATAGAGACTGGAGTATAGACACTACCACACTACCATAGAGACTGGAGTATAGACACTACCACACTACCATAGAGACTGGAGTATAGACACTACCACACTACCATAGAGACTGGAGTATAGACACTACCACACTACCATAGAGACTGGAGTATAGACACTACCATACTACATAGAGACTGGAGTATAGACACTACCATAGAGACTGGAGTATAGACACTACCACACTACCATAGAGACTGGGTAGTATAGAACACTACCACACTACCATAGAGACTGGAGTATAGACACTACTACCACACTACCATAGAGACTGGAGTATAGACACTACCACACTACCATAGAGACTGGAGTATAGACACTACCACACTACCATAGAGACTGGAGTATAGACACTACCACACTACCATAGAGACTGGAGTATAGACACTACCACACTACCATAGAGACTGGAGTATAGACACTACCACACTACCATAGAGACTGGAGTATAGACACTACCACACTACCATAGAGACTGGAGTATAGACACTACCACACATACCATAGAGACTGGAGTATAGACACTACCACACTACCATAGAGACTGGAGTATAGACACTACCACACTACCATAGAGACTGGAGTATAGACACTACCACACTACCATAGAGACTGGAGTATAGACACTACCACACTACCATAGAGACTGGAGTATAGACACTACCACACTACCATAGAGACTGGAGTATAGACACTACCACACTACCATAGAGACTGGAGTATAGACACTACCAACACATACCATAGAGACTGGAGTATAGACACTACCACACTACCATAGAGACTGGAGTATAGACACTACCACACTACCATAGAGACGGAGTATAGACACTACCACACTACCATAGAGACTGGAGTATAGACACTACCACACTACCATAGAGACTGGAGTATAGGACACTACCACACTACCATAGAGACTGGAGTATAGACACTACCACACTACCATAAGACCGGAGTATAGACACTACCACACTACCATAGAGACGGAGTATAGACACTACACACTACCATAGAGACTGGAGTATAGACACTACACACTACCATAGAGACCGGAGTATAGACACTACCACACTACCATAGAGACTGGAGTATAGACACTACCACACTACCATAGAGACTGGAGTATAGACACTACCATAGAGACTGGAGTATAGACACTACCACACTACCATAGAGACCGGAGTATAGACACTACCACACTACCATAGAGACGGAGTATAGACACTACCACACTACCATAGAGACGGAGTATAGACACTACCAAAATAGAGACCGGAGTATAGACACTACCACACTACCATAGAGACTGGAGTATAGACACTACCACACTACCATAGAGACTGGAGTATAGACACTACCACACTACCATAGAGACGGAGTATAGACACTACCACACTACCATAGAGACTGGAGTATAGACACCACACCTACCATAGAGACTGGAGTATAGACACTACCACACTACCATAGAGACGGAGTATAGACACTACACACTACCATAGAGACTGGAGTATAGACACTACCACACTACCATAGAGACGGAGTATAGACACTACCACACTACCATAGAGAGACTCGATGAGTATATACACTACCACACTACATAGAGACTGGAGTATAGACACTACCACACTACCATAGAGACTGGAGTATAGACACACTACCATAGAGACGGAGTATAGACACTACCACTCCAAGAGACTGGAGTATAGACACTACCACCTACCATAGAGACCGGAGTATAGACACTACACACTACCATAGAGACTGGAGTATAGACACTACCACACTACCATAGAGACTGGAGATAGACACTACCATAGAGACTGGAGTATAGACACTACCACACTACCATAGAGACTGGAGTATACACTACCACTAGAGACTGGAGTATATACACTACCACACTACCATAGAGACGGAGTATAGACACTACCCACACTACCATAGAGACGGAGTATAAGACACTACCACACTACCATAGAGACTGGAGTATAGACACTACCACACTACCATAGAGACTGGAGTATATACACTACCACACTACCATAGAGACCGGAGTATAGACACTACCACACTACCATAGAGACCGGAGTATAGACACTACCACACTACCATAGAGACTGGAGTATAGACACTACCACACTACCATAGAGACTGGAGTATAGACACTACACACTACCATAGAGACTGGAGTATACATACACCTAGGACGGATAACACTACACACTACATAGAGACTGGAGTATAGACACTACCACACTACCATAGAGACTGGAGTATAGACACTACCACACTACCATAGAGACTGGAGTATATACACTACCACACTATCATAGAGACTGGAGTATAGACACTACCATAGAGACTGGAGTATATACACTACCACACTACCATAGAGACCGGAGTATAGACACTACCACAACTAGTCATAAGAGACTGGAGTATAGACACTACCACACTACCATAGAGACTGGAGTATAGACACTACACACTCACACTACCATAGAGACTGGAGTATAGACACTACCACACCACCACACTACCATAGAGACTGGAGTAATAGACACTACCACACTACCATAGAGACAGCCAACACCTAGGTTGTAGCTAACCACATGCTAGTTCCTCAGTCTGGGAAAGGAACTGATCATGAGGTCAACCTGGACTACATTTGACCGGTGGTTAAATTCCCCCTCCTATGTAGATTTAAAGTGGAACTGACAGCATTTTAGCAACAAGAAATCTTATTAGAATCTGTTAATATACACCCCCATGAAGAATATGACACTTTTTAAAAACATGTCCTGACAAGCGAGCACTTAGATATGGTCATTTTCACATTTTCATAATTTTTTTTGAATGTTTGGGAATTTCGTATACTAAGGCATTTGTGAAAATTCTATAGCAATATAGAGTGGGAAAGCGGCCGTGCGTTTGGACAATTAATAGACACTGCAGTAAATAAAACCGAATAAAAACATCTGTCTTGTCCAGGACCGGAGTCTACTCAGGCCGGTGCGCTATAGCCAATCAGAGCTACAGTAGCCCTTTATGCAAACAAGCCATTTCCCACATAGGCCTGGCATCATTCACTTTGAACTGGACTTTGTGTTTACAGGCAGTTACAACAGCACAACTTTAGATAATTAGAACGAATTCGCCAAAAAGCCACAAAATAAACCTGAATGGATTTCTGCAAATATGTAAACACCACGGGAGTCCTCTTACAATTGGGAACTTTACAGTCCTATTGATCAAACAACCATGAAAATGTAGGCTCTCTCTCCCTCAGTTATGCACATCAACAACAACAATATCAACAACTAATGCTAGCCAGAGCAAGATGAGCTAAAATCAAACCAAGGAACATTAGATAAACCCTCTCAAACTTTTTCAGCTAGTTGGCTATCAAAATTGCACTGATAAACGATGGGGAATTGTAGCCTACTAGTCATTCTGCAGCTTGCCTGCCAATGTTGCATGCTTGGCCCAACCAAGCACCAAAGCTAACTGGCTGAAGTTGGCTAGCTTGCTAGCTAGCTACTTCCAGACACAAATGAGAGAACACCTCACCATTTTACTTGCCCTAACTGAGCTGGTTAGGCTGTTTACATGTTTTCTAGAGTGTTCTTGGCTAACTATTACTTTTCTTGCCTACGTTTACTGACACCGATCATATTCAGCGGGTGTTGGGCGTTCGTAAATTCATCAGTTATTCTGCACTCTGGCACACTCAGATGAGAGTGCTCTGAAATCGGAGTAGATAGCCAGAGTGAATTTGCGAACTCAAGAGATATGCTAACTTGATAACAGTCGTTCAAGTTCTTGCTAGCTAACCAAATGACACCTGCATCTCTAGCTGTGTATAGCCACCGAAAAACGATATGAGGGGAAAAAAGTCAGTCACTCACCCACTCCTCCAATGACATGACATGACATCCTCCTAGCAGCTAGCTAGCTAGCTAACGTTAGGCTCCGTGTTTTTAGCTTGCTACATAAGTAGATACGCTAGCCTATTAGCCACTTTTACTGCAAATATATTATCGACATTTTCTGAAATTACAATGCAAAAAAAAAAAAAAAAAATATCCTGTGTAGCACCTTTAACTGTATTGTCTAGCCTTCCTCCACTATGCCATAATCATATTTACATTTAGCGTGGTCAACATATTGCAAACAGGTTTAGAGTCTGGTTGTATGGTTACCGACGTGACTGAATGGTTTTGTTACTATAGTAACACCTACCTCGTTGGACTTGAAGCTCTTTCCCTGCATGCCGTGCCTCCAGAAGGCCAGAACACTGTCCTGTAGGCACACTGGAGCAGGAGGAGAGAAGGGTTCAGGGACGTCAGTGAAAACAGGAAGGAGAGAAGGGTTCAGGGACGTCAGTGAAAACAGGAAGGATATCAGCATTTTTTTTTTTTTTTACATTACATTTTGATCATTTAGCAGGCACTCTTATCAAGAGCATCCGTCAGTGCATTCAACTAGGTAGGTAAAACAACCACATCAGTCATTACACGTAAACCTTTCCTCAATAAAGCAGATATCATACACGTTACTACACTGTTACTATACACCAGGGATCATCAACTAGATTCAGCCACGGGCCGATTTTGTTCTGGAGTGGATGGTCAGAGGGCCGGAACATGATTACAAAATAATTTGTTGACCGCAAATTGATCGCAAGAAGCCGAAACAGACAATGTTTGACAAAAACAATCATTTCAAACCTAGCTTACATTTGTATACGATCAAGTGTCTCTCTATTATGCGCGTGGGAATACTTGGGAACAGATTTCTTAAATTAAAATCACTTGGAGCTGATTTGCTGGTATTTTTACAGTCTTCTACGTCCAACAATAAAAATTCCACAAAATAAATACATTGGGGGGGCCAAATAAAACCAGTTGGGGAACACTGCTATATACATCATAACACTGTTACTATCCACATCATAACACTGTTACTATACACATCATAACACTGTTACGATACACATCATAACACTGTTACGATACACATCATAACACTGTTACGATACACATCATAACACTGTTACTATCCACATCATAACACTGTTACATCCACATCATAACACTGTTACTATCACACAACATTAACACTGTTACTATCCACATCATAACACTGTTACTATACACATCATAACACTTACGATACACATCATAACACTGTTACGATACACAACACTGTTACTATCCACATCATAACACTGTTACTATCCACAACACTGTTACGATACACATCATAACACTGTTACGATACACATCATAACACTGTTACTATACACAACACTGTTACGATCCACATCATAACACTGTTACGATCACATCATAACACTGTTACTATCCACATCATAACACTGTTACGATACACATCATAACACTGTTACGATACACATCATAACACTGTTACTATCCACATCATAACACTGTTACTATCCACATCATAACACTGTTACGATACACATCATAACACTGTTACGATACACATCATAACACTGTTACGATACACATCATAACACTGTTACGATACACATCATAACACTGTTACGATACACATCATAACACTGTTACGATACACGTCATAACACTGTTACTATCCACGTCATAACACTGTTACGATACACGTCATAACACTGTTACTATCCACATCATAACACTGTTACTATCCACATCATAACACTGTTACTATCCACATCATAACACTGTTACATCCACTCAAAACTGTTACTATCCACATCATAACACTGTTACTATCCACATCATAACACTGTTTACTATCCACATCATAACACTGTTACTATCCACATCATAACACTGTTACTATCCACATCATAACACTGTTACTATCCACATCATAACACTGTTACTATCCACATCATAACACTGTTACTATCCACATCATAACACTGTTACTATCCACATCATAACACTGTTACTATCCACATCATAACACTGTTACTATCCACGTCATAACACTGTTACTATCCACATCATAACACTGTTACTATCCACATCATAACACTGTTACTATCCACATCATAACACTGTTACTATCCACGTCATAACACTGTTACTATCCACATCATAACACTGTTACTATCCACATCATAACACTGTTACTATCCACATCATAACACTGAAGGATGTACAGTAGTAAGGTGAATAATATTAAAGAGCTCATCTTACCAACGGATCCAATGGTGAAGTCAAAGCTGAGTTCTGACGCTAGCTTCTTGTTGGACTTCAGTCTTCCCTGGAGGTTCACGATCTTGAGATTTTCTAGAAGAAAATAGGAAGAGAACCCTTTAGAACGGCGGCCGGATAAAAGCAGACGTTCACACGAGCGGGGGGAAAACGATTAACGGCAGTGCAGGATTACAGCTAGACCGAGTGGGCAGTGCACTACGTTTGACCAGAGCCATATGGTGACCAGAAACCTATTGGCCCTGGTCGAAAGTAGTGCACTACTTAGGGAATAGGGTGCCATTTGGAACGCAATACTGAGTGCAGGTCAGGAAGTCATCATCTCTGTGGGGTCAGAGGTCATACTTACTGTCCAGGCACACTAGCACTGTGTCCCTCTCCAACTGGGTCACATGGATGGCATCCACTGCTTGACCAGCTAGGGGAAGACATATAGAATAGAACGGTCACCATGGAGATACATTGGGGGAAAAAAAGTATTGTAGTAGTAGAAGGTATAGTAATGGAAGGTATAGTAGAACGGTCACCATGGAGATATCCCTTCTGGCATCCAACAATAGATAACAAACAGTACTGTGTGTTTTAATATGTACATACCAGTGGCGGTCGGTGCCTTTTTAAGATAAGGGCAGACGATTATTACTTGAATGAGCTTGGCCTTATTTCTATTACAGCATATTGGATGACTGTCATTCATATTCCATTCACCCAGCTCAATGTAATATCGATAGGTTTAGGCTAATACATGATACTAGAATTGTTCCTATACCCCATCATGAGGTTGCTACAACCTAGCCTATGTTTACAACGTACAGTGAGGGAAAAAAGTATTTGATCCCCTGCTGATTTTGTACGTTTGCCCACTGACAAAGAAATTATCAGTCTATAATTTTAATGGTAGGTTTATTTGAACAGTGAGAGTCAGAATAACAACAACAAAAATCCAGAAAAACGCATGTCAAAAATGTTATAAATTGATTTGCATTTTAATGAGGGAAATAAGTATTTGACCCCCTCTCAATCAGAAAGATTTCTGGCTCCCAGGTGTCTTTTATACAGGTAACAAACTGAGATTAGGAGCACACTCTTAAAGGGAGTGCTCCTAATCTCAGTTTGTTACCTGTATAAAAGACACCTGTCCACAGAAGCAATCAATCAATCAGATTCCAAACTCTCCACCATGGCCAAGACCAAAGAGCTCTCCAAGGATGTCAGGGACATGATTGTAGACCTACACAAGGCTGGAATGGGCTACAAGACCATCGCCAAGCAGCTTGGTGAGAAGGTGACAACAGTTGGTGCGATTATTCGCAAATGTTAGAAACACAAAATAACTGTCAATCTCCCTCGGCCTGGGGCTCCATGCAAGATCTCACCTCGTGGAGTTGCAATGATCATGAGAACGGTGAGGAATCAGCCCAGAACTACACGGGAGGATCTTGTCAATGATCTCAAGGCAGCTGGGACCATAGTCACCAAGAAAACAATTGCTAACACACTACGCCGTGAAGGACTGAAATCCTGCTGAGCCCGCAAGGTCCCCCTGCTCAAGAAAGCACATATACACGCCTGTCTGAAGTTTGCCAATGAACATCTGAATGATTCAGAGGAGAACTGGGTGAAAGTGTTGTGGTCAGATGAGACCAAAATTGAGCTCTTTGGCATCAACTCAACTCGCCGTGTTTGGAGGAGGAGGAATGCTGCCTATGACCCCAAGAACACCATCCCCACCGTCAAACATGGAGGTGGAAACATTATGCTTTGGGGGTGTTTTTCTGCTAAGGGGACAGGACAACTTCACCGCATCAAAGGGACGATGGACAGGGCCATGTACCGTCAAATCTTGGGTGAGAACCTCCTTCCCTCAGCCAGGGCATTGAAAATGGGTCGTGGATGGGTATTCCAGCATGACAATGACCCAAAACACACGGCCAAGGCAACAAAGGAGTGGCTCAAGAAGAAGCACATTAAGGTCCTGGAGTGGCCTAGCCAGTCTCCAGACCTTAATCCCATAGAAAATCTGTGGAGGGAGCTGAAGGTTCGAGTTGCCAAACATCAGCCTCGAAACCTTAATGACTTGGAGAAGATCTGCAAAGAATAGTGGGACAAAATCCCTCCTGAGATGTGTGCAAACCTGGTGGCCAACTACAAGAAACGTCTGACCTCTGTGATTGCCAACAAGGGTTTTGCCACCAAGTACTAAGTCATGTTTTGCAGAGGGGTCAAATATTTATTTCCCTCAATAAAATGCAAATAAATTTATAACATTTTTGACATGCGTTTTTCTGGATTTTTTTGTTGTTATTCTGTCTCTCACTGTTCAAATAAACCTACCATTAAAATGATAGACTGATCATTTCTTTGTCAGTGTGCAAACGTAAAAAATCAGCAGGGGATCAAATACTTTTTTCCCTCACTGTATGTGCGCTAATACCATAGGCTAATGTATTTTGGGTGCTATTTTACCACCCGAGGAAGTGGAAACTCAAAACACATTAGCTAGATCACTAACTCTAAATATAATACCCAACTGCCAGCAGTCATTTATTAATCTACGAGTTAATTTAATGTCCTAAATAAACGCTGTAGTTGTAGCCTGAACTTGCGCGCTTCGTATCTTAAAGCCATATCAAATATCTTGGTTGTAAAATAGTTGCTATTGAGCTCAATATTAAGCGATGACAATTAAGTTATACCCACAGAAAGCTGAGAGCAACAGTAGTTGCTTCCAAAGCAATGTATGGGGGGCGGCAGGTGGCTTAGCGGTTAAGAGCGTTGTGCCAGTAACCGAACGCTGGTTCTAATCCCCGAGCCGACTAGGTGGAAAAATCTGTCGATTGTGCCCTTGAGCAAGGCACTTAACCCTAATTGCTCATGTAAGTCGCTCTGGATAAGAGCGTCTGCTAAATGACTAAAATGTAAAAAATGTAAATGTATTTCCCGCAATTGGATTTTGAAATGTTATACAATCATAAGGCTTTTTTCTCTCTCCCGGAGCATACATCTGGGGAGAGGGAGCGAGAATGGCTCGCTCATCACAGCACCAGGCCCCAGCCATAGCCGAGAGAAGTAATATGATTTTAAAAAATTGTATATATGATTTTTTTCTCAAAAGTAGTGCACTGGGCCTTTACTAGTATTAGCAGACCAATATAGACGTCTGTAGCGTAGGAAAAACATTTTTTTCAGCATCTCCGCTTTGGCAAAAAAGGAAGTTGTATAATTAAGAACAGTATCTCGCAGGATTCAATAGTTGGAATTGTAAGAGTTGTTGCCATGTCCCTTTCTGTAAGAGTTGTTGCCATGTCCCTTTCTGTAAGAGTTGTTGCCATGTCCCTTTCTGTAAGAGTTGTTGCCATGTCCCTTTCTGTAAGAGTTGTTGCCATGTCCCTTTCTGTAAGAGTTGTTGCCATGTCCCTTTCTCTGGGATTATCATTCTAATGGAATCCAGAAAGAACAAAACCCTGTCCTCAAACATGTACGTCAAAAGGTGCAACGTTACGGGCAAAGACACAAAATAAAATATTTTTCTTGATCAAATAACACGGAAAACAACCCCTTTTTGTGCAGTATTAAATTTACCATCCTTACAAACCACTTAATGTAAATGTACATTACTGTATTGTACATATGCTGGTCATCTAGGTTTGTACCTGTAGACTTTCAATCACCATGAAGAAAAACAATGCAAAATACAGTAATTGAGCACATTGAGACATCAAGTGGGGTCGTCATGATGATCATAGTGCATGGTGCTTGCAATGCTAAGGTTGTGGGTTCGAATTCCCACGGGGACCAGTACGAAAAGTATGAAGATATATGTAAGTTGCTCTAGATAAGAGCGTCTACTAAAATTGAAAAGGAATGAATAGACCATTTTGGTTTTCACATAGAAATAAGTTGCATTTGCCAAGTATTTCAAGAAACTGGAAAACATATATCAAGCAAGTATTTTTTTATATTCCACAAGTATTATCAGATTAACTGTTTTGTACAGATAATTATCAGATGCTGGTAAACACCTTGCAATTCTGCTAATGTTATGCATGCTTTGATTTGACCAAACAAATAAGATGTCAATCTCTCCAAAGACTCTTGTCCAGTCTATTTACTAGTCACATTTCGTCTACTTTTTGTCAACTGAAACAAAACATTATTTTCATTTAGTTGTTTCTGGATCTATTTAGTCAGATATCGTCTCGTCAATTGCCACCGCGCATCACTACAGGGTTGCCTACCCCTGGAGTAGTGTTAGTGTGTGTGGTGTGTGTGTGAATTCCTTACTTGAGCCCATCTCAGTGAACCAGGAGGAGCAGGAGTTGAGGTTGATGGTCTCAAAGCGGACCACCTGGCCTGGCTCCGTGGCCTGGCTGATGGATACACACACCATGGGGTACTCCTGCTCTGGAACCACTAACATCTCAAACACCTTCAGAGGGCTGGGCAGGGGGAAGTCAAAGTGCTGAGGGACAGAAGAGAGAGAGGAGAGAGGAGAGAGAGAGGAGAGGAGAGAGGAGAGAGAGAGGAGAGAGGAGGGCGAGGAGATGAGCAGGAGAGATAAAACAGGGAGATGTCGGAAGATAAATCTAAACTGAGGTGGGAGGACAGGGAGGGAGAAGAGGAGAGAGAGGAGTGAGAGAGAGAGACGAGAGAGATGCGAGAGAGTAGAGGGGTAGATAGAGAGTGAAAGGAGGAGAGAGTAGGGATAAGAGAGAGAGAGAGAATGAGACTAGCGAGGGGTAGATGATTTGAGGATGCAGTCAGAGAAGAGTAGTAGAGGATCGGCACGTTCGAAGAGTCTTGCGATGTGAGCGGATGCGTATAGCTGAGGAGAAAGACTGAGGCGATCTCGTTGAGTCTAGAGTGTGTGTGGATAGGATGAGATGCGGGTCATAGGGTCACGAGGATCGTGCTGTAGGGTCATCATGTACTAGGTCTGTAGTTGGTAGAGAGTAGTGAAGTATGTATGTGGTTGCATGAGCTCTAGTTAGGTGCGGACGTGGTGAGTTGTGCATGCTGTGGGGTGTTCTTCTAGTTACGGGTAGTTCGAGGAAGGAGGAGAGAGAGGAGGGGGAGAGGGAGAGAGAGAGGGGGATGAGGCTCTCTGGAAGTAATGCTGAAGAGGTAAAGTGGGTCCTACTAAAGAGATGAGATGATACTTTGTCTGCTTGCACAGAAATGTGCCTTGCATCACAATGGTCCATTATCATAAAAAAACAGGTATAGAAAATGATGTCTGTTTTAGCATGGTAAACAAGTAAACGATGCATGTTGTTGGATGCAGAAAATCTAACATTTCTAAAAAATGAAAATGAATTAAGATGAATGCTTCATGATTTGTCATGCTGATCCTCCAGTCCATCTAACATAACATTTTGTACCCAGTGGGACAAACTACACTGAACAAAAATATAAACGCAACATGCAACAATTTCAAAGATTTGGACACGCTGTCGTACATGTCGATCCAGGGCATCCCAAACTTGTTCAATGGGTGACATGTCTGAGTATGCAGGCCATTTCCAGCTTACAGGAATTGTGTACAGATCCTTGCGATATGGGGCCGTGCATTGTCATGCTGAAAAATGAGGTGATGGCGGCGGATGAATGGCACGACAATGGGCCTCAGGATCTCGTCACGGTATTTAAATTGCCATCGATAAAATGCAATTGTGTTTGTTGTCTGTAGCTTATGCCTGCCCTGCCCAGACCATAACCCCATTGCCATCATGGGGCACTCTGTTCACAATGTTGACATCAGCAAACTGCCATCTACCCGGTACAGTTGAAACCGGGATTCATCTGTGAAGAGCACACTTCTCCAGCATGCCAGTGGTCATCGAAGGTGAGCATTTGCCCACTGAAGTCGGTTTCGACGCTGAACTGCAGTCAGGTCAAGACCCTGGTGAGGACGACGAGCACGCAGATGAGCTTCCATGAGACGGTTTCTAACAGATTGTGCAGAAATTCTTCGGTTGTTCAAACCCACAGTTTCATCAGCTGTCCAGGTGGCTGGTCTCAGACGAACCCGCAGGTGAAGAAGCCGGATGTGGAGGTCCTGGGCTGGCGTGGTTACACGTGGTTTGCGGTTGTGAGGCCGGTTGGACGTTCTGCCAAATTCCCTAAAACGACGTTGGAAGCGGCTTATGGTAGAGAAATGAACATTAAATTCTCTGCCAACAGCTCTGGTGGACATTCCTGCAGTCAGCATGCCAATTGCACGCTCCCTCAAAACTTGAGACATCTGTGGCATTGTGTTGTGTGACAAAACTGCACATTTTAGAGTGGCATTTTATTGTCCACAGCACAAGGTGCCCTGTGTAAGGATCATGCGGTTTAAAACCTCTTAAGGATCGGACCCTTTTTTTTCAATTTTCGCCTAAAATGACATACCCAAATCTAACGGCCTGTAGCTCAGGACCTGAAGCAAGGATATGCATACTGTTGATACCATTTGAAAGGAAACACTTTGAAGTTTGTGGAAATGTGAAACTAATGTAGGAGAATATAACACATTAGATCTGGTAAAATATAATACAAACAAAAAAACATGCATTTTCTCATTTTCTTTCATCATCTTTGAAATGCAAGAGAAAGGCCACAATATAGTATTGCAGCTTAGGCGCAATTTCGATTTTGGCCACTAGATTGATCCAGTGAAGCATTGCGATACTGGACTATTTTGTATCAAGTCTGCCCAAATGTGACGAATTGGTCAATTTATACATTTTCAAGTACATAACTATATAGAACATACTAAAATTATATGGTAATAAAACATTTAAGTTTACACAGTATAAGCTAATGATTCATCATGTATGACATTCCTGGGAGACTAACTTTCACACATCTAGATGGCCGGGCGGGGTGTGTGTGGAGCCAGAGACAGCAAGGGTTCATACTGTAGAACCCAGTTCCTACATTTGAATATAAAAATGGATTTTATCAAACATAACTATGCTACATTTGATCTCTGGGACCCTCAGGATGACAAATCAGAGCAAGATTATTGAATATAAGTACATGATTTACCTTCAGAGGTGAATGTATCAAACCAGTTGCCGTGATAAGTTTTTTGTTGTTGTGCATTCTCCTCAAACAATAGCATTGTATCTTTTAACTGTAATAGCTGCTGTAAATTGGACAGTGCAGTTAGATTAACATTAATTTAAGATTTCTGCCCATATAAGACATGTCTATGTCCTGGAAAGTTTGCTGTTACTTACAACAGTCATGCTAATCACATTAGCGCACGTTAGCTCAACCGTCCCGTATACGGGACACCGATCCCGTAGAGGTTAATCAGCTTCTTGATACCTGTCAGGTGGATGGATTATCTTGGCAAAGGAGAAATGCTCACCAACAGGGATGTAAACAAATTTGTGCACAGCATTTTAGAGAAATACGCTTTTTGTGCGTATGGAAAATGTATTTAATTTCAGGTCATGAAACATGGGACCAACAACTTTACATGTTGCGTTTATATTTTTGTTTAGTACAGACGAAGGACTGACCTTGATGAGCATGAACCTCTGCATGGGCTCGTACCACTGTAGCAGGACTATCCCAGACTGGAGCGCTCCACACAGGTACTTATGGCCCGTATAGGGGTTCCTCACTGTGGGGGGAGAAAGAAACCGAGAGAGAGAGAGAGAGAGAGAGAGAGAGAGAGAGAGAGAAAGAGAGAGAGAGCAGAGAGCGAGAGAGAGAGAGAGAGAGAGAGAGAGAGAGAAACCGACAAAGAGAGAGAAGTCAAGGTATGTCAAAGTACAGGACTTTATATTTTCTCTGTCCAGGACCAACTCAACTAACCACAGGTAGTAGAATGCAGCTGAGGTAAAGCAGTGATGGTGAGAGGCCTGGAAGCTAGCTATAGTTAATAGAACACACCGTGGTTTGGGGGGGGGGGGGGGGGAGAACTCACCAATGCAGCACTTGTGACAGCCCTTTGTGTCAGGGATCTTAGTTGTCAAGGAAAACCTCCTGCAGGGAGAAAACAGTCAGCCTGGGTCAACACAGTCAATAAGCCTGGTAACACAGTCATATCTTAATGCACCTGGGTTCAACAAAGTATATAGTGTAATTGCAGCTGGGTCAACACAGTCATATAGTGTAATGTCAGCCTGGGTCAACACAGTCATATAGTGTAATGTCAGCCTGGGTCAACACAGTCATACAGCCTGGGTCCTGTCCAGCAGGCCACACCGTAGAAAAATCTTTTGAAACTGAAGTTTCTTATTGTACAAGTTCAGATAGTATCTCCCCATTTCTCGCTGTTTTCTTCTGTTTCATGCCTACTGAACACGACACTGGTGCCCTCTGTTGAGGGCAATATAATAGACCCCCTGTGTGTCTCTCACTTGGGTGAGATCTTGTCTGCGAAACAGTGTGTGTGTGGTGTGTGTGTGTGTGTGTGTGTGTTTGTGTGTGTGGTGCACCGTGGTAAGATCTTTGTCTGGGAAGGCGGTGTGTGTGTGTGTGTGTGTGTGTGTGTGTGTGTGTGGTGTGTGTGTCACCGTGGTAAGATCTTGTCTGGGAAGCGGTGTGTCTGGAACTGAGAGGCCAGGCCAGGCTTCTTCAGCTGCTCAAACAGCCCAATCAGGTTGTGTGAGTAGAGCTGGAAGGTCTTCCCTGTGATCACATATCAAACATGATCACATTATAGGAAAAAGAGGGATGTGTGGCACCCTATTCTATATAGTGCACTACTTTTGACCAGGGCCCATAGGGAATAGGGTGCTACTTTTAGGACGTAGACATGATGCCCTTTCTGGGGCCACATCTCTTACAGTGTCATGACATTTCCCCAAGACATTCCTGTATAGTTGAACAAACAAAAGCCAACACTGAGATAGATTAAAGGGAAACTAGATGGAAAGAGGCTGTATGGCAGAAACACGATTATTATTATTAGTGTAGATGTATTCATCATCAACAGCAAATTAGTTTTAAGGAGCTATATGATATTATGTTAACTTTTATCTGAACATACAGGCATGTGCTGGATGGAGTTAGCTTGATGTTGAAAAGGTTAAGGGCTAGGGATGCAACATTCCCTGGTTTTCCAGAAATCCTGGATTTCCTGCTTTATTCCATCCTGATTCTAGGAATATTCTAAACAGGATTTCAGGAAAACCTAGGTATTTTGGGACAGTTACCAAAATGTTGTAACCCTGGTCAGGGGTGAATAAGGGTGGAATACAATACAGAGGTGTGACTGTGATGATGATGATGATGATGATGATGATTTGTGAATGTGATGATTACCTTCTGATGAAGACGGTTAGTAGAATACCAAATCAAGTCAGACCAGAGGAGAGGAGTGGGGAGGAGAGGAGAGGAGAGAGGAGGAGGGACAGAGTCCAAGAGGAGGAGAGGAGAAGAAAGCAGAGATTAGATATCCTCTGAGCCGGGGCATAGGGCCCTACTCATCACACTGAACTGTACCTAGGCTATATCCCATCTCTCCTTCCTCCCAAAGTGTTCACTTCCCTTCACCGATTTGGAATGAAATGACTGGCATAAAGAAATATGGTGGAAACACCCACTAGACCCGCGCCTCCACCAATACAACGCTTTTAGATTTGTGGAAAGTAGTGAACGACTGCACACTTCATGAGAAAGGAGATGTGATTGGGACGTACTCCTAGTATTAACTTCCAATAAGTAAGAAATGCTTACTTTCGCTTTCTCACAACATAGAAATTCCAACACCCCAAGTGGTTAACACACAGCTTGTACAGTAACACACTGTGCAGATAAAAGCTACACGAAATTGGGACATGCGTCATCTAGCTACAATCAGAGTTGTTCTTCTTTCACTTCTTCTCTCTCAAAACGATCTACATTGCTCCTGTAAGCAGGTGTTTTACTACCACTGGTCTGGTCGATGCTCTCTTTCTCTATTCCATACAGCAGGCCGTAAAAGACAGAAGTGTTATTCATGACTCACTGTGTGTGTGTTGTAAATAAATAAAATAAATAAATATGCCATTTAGCAGACGCTTTTATCCGAAGCGATTTACAGTCATGCGTGCATACATTTTATTTTATTTTATTTAGTATGGGTGGTCCCGGGGATCGAACCCACTACCTTGGCGTTACAAGCGCAGTGCTCTACCAGCTGAGCTACAGAGGACCACGTGTTGTGTAGAGGTTTGTCCTCCAATAGCTTTTAGACAAACTGGTATCTATTCCACCGGGCCGTCCATATAATCTGGGTCTCTTTTACATACAATTGCAGGCCATAAAGACATTCAAAGTCATTCATGACTCACCACAAAACTATCGATACCCTTCATGGAAGTTGTCGCCAGTAGCTTTTGAACAACCTTCTATTTCTGACTGCTGTAGAATAGATATGATGTGGATTACCAGAGCTTTCTGGCTGCTGTAGAATAGATATGTTACCTGTATCTGTCTTACTGACAGGGCCTACAATTAACACCTGCGGGTAGATTTGATGTCTATTTCACCTGCCACATTGGCGGGTGGTCAGGGCTCCACAGTGCGAGCAATTTCACTTGCATTTGTGAATAAAAATAGTCAAGTATGATCACATTTATAGTTAAATAAATGCTGCAGTCGCTAATTTTCAAAGTATTTCTGCCATTTTGTTTCATAGCTGGTAAATTAATCGCACAAAGTCAAAAGAGCTACGAATCCTATATAACATATGTCACTTCGCGCTGCAACACAGGCACATAAAAGTTGGTCTAAATTACTTCAAACTAAAGTGTACTGAAGTGAAACTTTGTCCTCGTGTTTCTTGGCTATTTACATAGTTTTGTTCACAAGCTAGGTTGTTTTTCAAATGTTTTGAGTTTCAACTGCCAGGGAAGAGACGACAACGCCGCCACTGGTCAGACTCAATCTCACTGGCACAAACATGACAAGCCGCGTTACCACGGTAACCGCCCGCCCCGCGTGAACATTTTTTTGTCTCCTCTGTGACATTTTGGTTAAAAGACTCGGGTCACAAAAAATGAAATTAAACAATATACCACGTTACTTCTTACTAGTAATACATGTATTGTTTTAGAAACATTACAAAACATGCTCATCCGTTTTTTTCGTATTTTAGTGTGGGGGAAAATATTTTATCTGGTAAAAAGCTGAGTGGCTGGTAGATTTTTAAATCTACCTGCTACAGTGGCTGGTGGACCAAAAAAGTAAATGTTATGCCCTGCCTACGGACTCACCTGACAGAGACATCAGGTTGTTATTGATGATGTAGAGCCAGGTGCACTTCCTGGGGAACAGCTAGAGGGGGGGGGGAACATGAGACAATGAAGACATACATTACTTTATGGATACAGAGGACAACAGCAGGGCGGCAGGTAGCTTAGTGGTTAAGAGCGTTGTGCCAGTAACCGAAAGGTCGCTGGTTCTAATCCCCGAGCCGACTAGGTGAAAAATCTGTTGATGTGCCCTTGAGCAAAGCACTTAACCCTAATTGCTCCTGTAAGTCGCTCTGGATAAGAGCGTCTGCTAAATGACAACAAAAAACAAATTATATTATATCAGTCCTCATTATATTAGTGCTTGAAAGCAGTGATCCTGAGTCCTACTCCTGGAGAGACCCAGGTCATCCCAGAGAGCCCCATGTGTTCCTACCTGCTCCATGGTGGCTTCATGCAGCTCATTCAGGTTGAGGGTATAGATCCCATCCTCAGTCCCAAATATAAGGTACTGGTCTGAAAAACAGTAGAAACAAATTGAATAGATGAACGTTGTGTGTGTGTGTGTACAGTAGTTTGTGTGTGTGTTTTTGTGTGTTTTTGTGTTACCTTTGGTATCAGGGTGTATCCATGACGTGGCACAGTTGATTTTCAGTGGGCAGCCATCAAACACCTTGGAGAAACAGGCTCCCATCTATAGATAGAATATAGAGACCAAATGAGAACGCAAACAAACCCAAACCCAAAACCTGGATTGCAATATCTCCTTGTCCACAGACTGCTCCCAGGGTAAGGAAACTAAATATGTTTATTTTGGAGAAAGACAATTGTGAACTATCCGCTTAAGTATCGTCTTTAGATGGATCATGTTTAAAATGTCAGCCAGGGTATTTTAAAGTGAATTTGAGAGATGGATAACCACAATACACACACATGACCACAAAAACTAGAGCATGACCACAAGCACGGTTGGATCCAGAGTCCACTGTTATTATGACAGTCCAGAGTCCACTGTTACTATGACAGTTCAGAGTCCACTGTTACTATGACAGTTCAGAGTCCACTGTTACTATGACAGTTCAGAGTCCACTGTTACTATGACAGTTCAGACAGTCCAGAGTCCACTGTTATTATGACAGTCCAGAGTCCACTGTTACTATGACAGTTCAGAGTCCACTGTTACTATGACAGTTCAGAGTCCACTGTTACTATGACAGTTCAGACAGTCCAGAGTCCACTGTTACTATGACAGTCCAGAGTCCACTGTTACTATGACAGTTCAGACAGTCCAGAGTCCACTGTTACTATGACAGTCCAGAGTCCACTGTTACTATGACAGTCCAGAGTCCACTGTTACTATGGACAGTCCAGAGTCCACTGTTACTATGACAGTCCAGAGTCCACTGTTACTATGACAGTCCAGAGTCCACTGTTACTATGACAGTCCAGAGTCCACTGTTACTATGACAGTCCAGAGTCCACTGTTATATGACAGTCCAGAGTCCACTGTTATTATGACAGTCCAGAGTCCACTGTTATTATGACAGTCCAGAGTCCACTGTTATTATGACAGTCCAGAGTCCACTGTTACTATGACAGTTCAGAGACAGTCCAGAGTCCACTGTTACTATGACAGTCCAGAGTCCACTGTTACTATGACAGTTCACAGACAGTGTTATGACAGTTTCATTTACATTTGAGTCATTTAACAGACGCTCTTATCCAGAGCGACTTACAGTAGTGATACATGTTCATACTTTTTTATTTATTTCTCCCATACTGGTCCCCCTGTGGGAATCGAACCCACAACCCTGGCGTCGCAAGCGCCATGCTCTACCAACTGAGCTACACGGGATCAGCCCAGTCCAGTCTAACCACAAACAATATATACATTCATCATATTGTTTACGCATCACAGAGTCTTCCAGATCCAACAGGAATGTGTCCTGCTGGGGGGGACAGCGGAGGTACACAGGGACAATAGACACAGTCTGATAGATACAGTTACCGTCCCAAATGGCACCCCCCATTCCCCCATTTAGTGCACTACTTTTGACCAGGGCCCATATGACCCTGGTCAAAAGTAGTGCACTATGAAGGGAATGGGGGGTGCCATTTGGGACGGAGTTTCAAGAATCGTGGAGACGGGCCACTCACCAGGACTTTAGGTGTGGGCGGCAGGCCGTTGATAGCTGGTTTCTGAGGAGAAACAAACAGCCACACATCAGACTGGATGAGGAGTGGAGGACACACAAAGTAAAACACTACATACTGTGTTGACGGGAGACGGTTTGCCAAGCCTAGCGCTGGGCCCCTTTTCATTTCTATACGATTGACTGTTGACTTCAAGCACCCTTTCATTGTCTGCGTCACAAATGACACCCTATTTCCGATCCCTATAAGCCCTGTTCAAAAGTAGTGCACTATATAGGGAATAGGGTACCATTTGGCATGCAGATTCAGTGTCATTATGTTATCATATTCTCTTCTCTCCCTTTCAACAAGATCCAGCACCATTTTTGACAGTCGGTTTGGGGTTCTTTTCTGCTTATGCATTCTCATTTCGACGCCAAATCCACCACTGGTGTGCTCGGCCAAAGAGCTTTATTTTCATGTCAATCCAACAAATGTAAAAACGCCTGTAGTTTGCTAAACGGCATTGACACTTGGATTGTAACTGGTGCTTTGATCAGATGACATAAAAATAGACCTCTTTGGCCGAGCACACCAGTGGTGGGTTTGGCGTCGGAATGAGAACGCATAAGCAGAAAAGAACCCCAAACCGACTGTAAAATATGGTGCTGGATCTTTGATGTTATGGGGCTATTTTCCTTCCACTGGTCCTGGGACGCTTGTTATGGTCAACGGTATCATGAACTTTACCCAGTACCAGGACATTTTAGCCAAAAACCTTGTTGCATCTGCCAAGAGGCTGAAATGGGTCTGCAAGTGGATCTTCCAGCAAGACAATAACCCCAAGCACACATTAACATCTAAAAAGAAATTGTTAATTTGCCACAAAATCAATATTTTCTAATGGCCATCTCAGTTTCCTGACTTGAAACCCATTGAAGAGGGCAGTCCATAAGCGCAGCTCCGAGACAGGAATGTGTCGAGGCACAGATCTGGGGAAGGGTACCAAAAAATTTGTGCAGCATTGAATGTCCCCAAGAACACAGTGGCCTCCATCATTCTTAAATGGAAGAAGTTTGGAACCACCAAGACTCTTCCTAGAGCTGGCCGCCCGGCCAAACTGAGCAATAGGGGTAGAAGGGCCTTGGTCAGGGAGGTGACCAAGAACCCGATAGTCACTCTGACAGAGCTCCAGAGTTCCTCTGTGGATATGGGAGAAACTTCCAGAAGGACAACCATCTCTGCAGCATTCCACCAATCAGGCCTTTATGGTAGAGTGGCCAGACGGAAGCCACTCCTCAGTAAAAGGCACATGACAGCCCGCTTGGAGTTTGCCAAAAGGCACCCAAATTACTCTCAGACCATGAGAAACAAGATTCTCTGGTCTGATGAAACCAAGATTGAACTCTTTGGCCTGAATGCCAAGCGTCACGTCTGGAGGAAACCTGACACCATCCCTACGGTGAAGCGTGGTGATGGCAGCATCATGCTGTGGGGATGTTTTTCAGCGGCAGGGACTAGGAGACTAGTCAGGATCGAGGGAAAGATGAATGGAGCAAAGTACAGAGAGATCCTTGATGAAAACCTGCTCCAGAGCTCTCAGGACCTCAGACTGGGGCGAAGGTTCACCTTCCAACAGGACAACGACCCTAAGCACACAGCCAAGACAACGCAGGAGTGGCTTCAGGACAAGTCTCTGAATGTCCTTGAGTGGCCCAGCCAGAGCCCGGACTTGAACCCGATCGAACATCTCTGGAGAGACCTGAAAATAGCTGTGCAGCGACGCTCCCCATCCAACCTGACAGAGCTTGAGAGGATCTGCAGAGAAGAATGGGAGAAACTCCCCAAATACAGGTGTGCCAAGCTTGTAGCGTCATACCTTAGAAGACTTGAGGCTGTAATCGCTTCCAAAAGTGCTTCAACAAAGTACTGAATAGATCTGAATACTTACATAAATGTGATATCAGTTTCTTATTTTTAATACATTTGCAAAAATGTCTAAAAACCAGTTTTTTGCTTTGTCATTATGGGGTATTGTGTGTAGATGGATTAGGAGAAAAAAAAATCAATTTAATCCATTTCAGAATGAGGCTGTAACGTAACAAAATGTAGAAGAAGTCCTCACATGATATTCTTTCTTCTCCGTCCTGTGTGGTTGGCTGGGAGGATTATTGGGACTGTCCCCGTTCGCACTCCCATCAGAGTCATCAGGATCTGGTGAAAGACAGAAGTTACATTTCCATTTGAGTCCTTATCCAGAGTCACAATCGGTGCATTTCACGCTCTTATTCTTACAATCAGTGCGTTGAACTAAAGTAGGTAAAACAACCATATATCATCATCATCATCGCAAGCGGGGGGGGGGGGGGGGGGGGGGAGTGGAGGGTTATATTCTAGCATAGAACTCTCTTTGGGGGTTATATTCTAGCATAGAACTCTCTCTGGGGGTTATATTCTAGCATAGAACTCTCTTTGGGGGTTATATTCTAGCATAGAACTCTCTTTGGGGGTTATATTCTAGCATAGAACTCTCTCTGGGGGTTATATTCTAGCATAGAACTCTCTTTGGGGGTTATATTCTAGCATAGAACTCTCTTTGGGGGTTATATTCTAGCATATAACTCTCTTTGGGGGTTATATTCTAGCATAGAACTCTCTCTGGGGGTTATATTCTAGCATAGAACTCTCTTTGAGGGTTATATTTAAGCAATAACGCTCGAGGGGGTGTGGTATATGGCCAATATACCACGGCTAAGGGCTGTTCTTAGGGATACAGCCCTTAGCCAAGGTATTTTGGCCATATAGCACAAACCCCCGAGGTGCCTTACTGCTATTATAAACTGGTTACCAATGTAATTAGAGCAGTTAAAGTAATTGATTCGTCATACCCGTTGTTTACGGTCTGATATACCACGGCTGTCAGCCAATCAGCATTCTGGGCTCGAACCACCCAGTTTATAATCTAGCATAGAACTCTCTCTGAGGGTTATACTCCCGGGTCGATATTCATGTAATAGTAAGGAATTCCCCTCGACCACGCCCACAAATTGGGGAAAACAAACATTCTTTCCTATTGACCCCCATTGTAAAAGAGCCAAATTCATAGTCGATTTTTTGTTATATAGAAATAACAAAACATGCCGAAAAGCTGCGGCGTTGTTCAATGTACATGTAACCAGGTCAAAAATCCTGACCTACGGTTCGCAATGCTCACACGTAGGGAAATAGAGCCTGAGGGAAGAGCCCTGTGACTTCCGGCTATTCAGCGTGGGAAAGTGGGAAAGTGGGGACCCGGTGTCCAGGCAGGCTACACGTAGCTACAGTATTTGATCCCCTGCTGATTTTGTACGTTTGCCCACTGACAAAGACATGATCAGTCTATAATTTTAATGGTAGGTTTATTTGAACAGTGAGAGACAGAATAACAACAAATAAATCCAGAAAAACAAATGTCAAAAATGTTATAAATTGATTTGCATTTTAATGAGGGAAATAAGTATTTGACCCCTCTGCAAAACATGACATAGTACTTGGTGGCAAAACCCTTGTTGGCAATCACAGAGGTCAGACGTTTCTTGTAGTTGGCCACCAGGTTTGCACACATCTCAAGAGGGATTTTGTCCCACTCCTCTTTGCAGATCTTCTCCAAGTCATTAAGGTTTCGAGCCTGACGTTTGGCAACTCGAACCTTCAGCTCCCTCCACAGATTTTCTATGGGATTAAGGTCTGGAGACTGGCTAGGCCACTCCAGGACCTTAATGTGCTTCTTCTTGAGCCACTCCTTTGTTGCCTTGGCCGTGTGTTTTGGGTCATTGTCATGCTGGAATACTCATCCACAACCCATTTTCAATGCCCTGGCTGAGGGAAGGAGGTTCTCACCCAAGATTTGACGGTACATGGCCCCGTCCATCGTCCCTTTGATGCGGTGAAGTTGTCCTGTCCCCTTAGCAGAAAAACACCCCCAAAGCATAATGTTTCCACCTCCATGTTTGACGGTGGGGATGGTGTTCTTGGGGTCATAGGCAGCATTCCTCCTCCTCCAAACACGGCGAGTTGAGTTGATGCCAAAGAGCTCGATTTTGGTCTCATCTGACCACAACACTTTCACCCAGTTCTCCTCTGAATCATTCAGATGTTCATTGGCAAATTTCAGACGGGCCTGTATATGTGCTTTCTTGAGCAGGGGGACCTTGCGGGCGCTGCAGGATTTCAGTCCTTCACGGTGTAGTGTGTTACCAATTGTTTTCTTGGTGACTATGGTCCCAGCTGCCTTGAGATCATTGACAAGATCCTCCCGTGTAGTTCTGGGCTGATTCCTCACCGTTCTCATGATCATTGCAACTCCACGAGGTGAGATCTTGCATGGAGCCCCAGGCCGAGGGAGATTGACAGTTCTTTTGTGTTTCTAACATTTGCGAATAATCGCACCAACTGTTGTCACCTTCTCACCAAGCTGCTTGGCGATGGTCTTGTAGCCCATTCCAGCCTTGTGTAGGTCTACAATCTTGTCCCTGACATCCTTGGAGAGCTCTTTGGTCTTGGCCATGGTGGAGAGTTTGGAATCTGATTGATTGATTGCTTCTGTGGACAGGTGTCTTTTATACAGGCAGCTCGTTACCTCTATAAAAGACACCTGGGAGCCAGAAATCTTTCTGGCTCCCAGAATGCAAATCAATGCAAATCAATTTATAACATCTTTGACATGCGTTTTTCTGGATTTTTGTTGTTGTTATTCTGTATCTCACTGTTCAAATAAACCTACCATTAAAATTATAGACTGATCATTTCTTTGTCAGTGGGCAAACTTACAAAATCAGCAGGGGATTAAATACTTTTTTCCCCTCACTGTATGTGTGTGGAAAACATTTAATTACAGGTAAGACATTTAACTTGTTTAGTATAGTTTGTTGGTAACTCCACTCACTACTTGTAGCTGTATAGTCTGTTTGTTTGTGTTGTTGGTATTGGCTAGCTTAATGTTCCGGTTGGTTGGTAGCTAGCACTCATTCACGTGGCTGCTAACACCATGAAGGAAGCCTTACAATATTACATTTTTCTAAGTAGTGAGAACGCTCGGGAGAAGGCAATGTTGAAAAGTAATCTTTAGACATGTTGTACTTTCCTTAAATGTAGTTTTGCAATTGACAAACAAGGAGACAAACAAGAGAATGGCGTTTGAAAAAGGTGACTTTTTTTTCTGTGAGCCAATGGGGTAACCTATGTAACCACAGGTTGTTTTTCCTCACAGGGGGGCAGGGCCGCGATGTTCTATCTAATACCGACTGGGACTATATTCTAGCATAAAACTCTCTGTGGGTGGGACTCCCGAGTGGCGCAGTGGTCTAAGGCACTGCATCGCAGTGTTGCGGGCCGGCCGCCTGCAGGCTGACTTCGGTCGTCAGTTGAACGGTGTTTTCCTCCGACACATTGGTGCAGCTGGCTTCCGGGTTAAGCGGGTGTTAAGAAGTGCGGCTTGGCGGGTCATGTTTCGGAGGACGCGTGACTCGACCTTCGCCTCTCCCGAGCCCGTTGGGGAGTTGCCGAGATGAGACAAGATCGTAATCACGAAATTGGGGAGAAAAAGGGGGTTAAAATAAAAAATAACTCTCTGAGGGTTATATCTAGCATATAGGATTCTCTGAGGGTTATTTCTAGCGTATAGGATTCTCTCGGAGGGTTATATCTAGCATATAGTATTCTCTCTGAGGGTTATATCTAGCATATAGTATTCTCTGAGGGTTATATCTAGCGTATAGGATTCTCTGAGGGTTATTTCTAGCGTATAGGATTCTCTGAAGGTTACATCTAGCATATAGTATTCTCTCTGAGGGTTATATCTAGCATATAGTATTCTCTCTGAGGGTTACATCTAGCATATAGTATTCTCTCTGAGGGTTATATCTAGCATATAGTATTCTCTCTGAGGGTTACATCTAGCATATAGTATTCTCTCTGAGGGTTACATCTAGCATATAGTATTCTCTCTGAGGGTTACATCTAGCATATAGTATTCTCTCTGAGGGTTACATCTAGCATATAGTATTCTCTCTGAGGGTTACATCTAGCATATAGGATTCTCTCTGAGGGTTACATCTAGCATATAGTATTCTCTCTGATGGTTATTTCTAGCATATAGTATTCTCTCTGAGGGTTATATCTAGCATATAGTATTCTCTCTGAGGGTTATATCTAGCGTATAGTATTCTCTCTGAGGGTTATATCTAGCGTATAGTATTCTCTCTGAGGGTTACATCTAGCATATAGGATTCTCTCTGAGGGTTATTTCTAGCGTATAGGATTCTCTCTGAGGGTTATATCTAGCATATAGTATTCTCTCTGAGGGTTATATCTAGCATATAGTATTCTCTCTGAGGGTTACATCTAGCGTATAGGATTCTCTCTGAGGGTTATATCTAGCGTATAGGATTCTCTGAGGGTTACATCTAGCGTATAGTATTCTCTCTGAGGGCATTGAACCACTACATGTGAATACTACAAAATATCCACACCACAAGCACAATTAGATACACCTTCTTTCCTTTGAATACGTTTGAATTACTGACAAATACGTAGTTTGAATTACATTTACATTTACATTTTAGTCATTTAGCAGACGCTCTTATCCAGAGCGACTTACAGTTTGAATAACTGATAGCTTGGAATAGGAGCGATATTTTCTAATTTAGAGAATGTAGTCGTATCCTCAATCAATTCAACAAGTGACCCAGACATACTGTAAGAGAACATGGTGAGGTGTGTGTGTGTGCACATGTCTGTGGGTGCGCTTGTGTGTGTGTGGGTGCGCTTGTGTGCACGTGGCGTGCGTGCGAAAGTCTGTGTGTGTCTGTGTGCCCTTACCAGGGTCTGAGGATGTGGACGTAGTTAGCCGGCCGGGGCTGCTGACGCTGGCTGACTGGTAGTGCGGAGCAGAGTGATCCACCTTACAATTACAAAAGCTTTATTATTGCATTTGTTTAGCATTTTAAGCTTCACAATGTCATTTAAAAACACACAGAATATCATGAATCGTCAAACATTGTAATAGAAAAATATATACAGTACATAAACACATACCTTGTTGCCCTGCTCTGGGGTGCTCAGTCTCCAGGGGTACAGGCCTGGACCGGGACTGTTCTCTGAGCCTGGAAACCTCCTCACCGTCGCACACCTCTCATCACTCACACCTGGCTCATCTGACAAACTGTTCAGGTGAGGCTGAACGTGAGAGGAGGAGAAGGAGAGGAAGAGGAGAGGAAGAGGGGGGAGGAAGAAGAGAACAGAGGAGAGGAAGAAGAGAACAGAGGAGAGGAAGAGGGGGAGGAGGAGAGGAAAAGGGGAAGGAGAGGAGGAGGAAGAGGAGGAGAGATAGGAGAGGAGGAGGAAGAGGAGCGAGAGAGGAGAAGAAGAAGGAAAGAAAGGGGTTATGTACTCGCCTATTTCTCAGGTATATGCAGAACAGTGTTTCCTCTGGAAAAATGTGCAGCAGTGGGGGCAAAAGGTCGGGGGGGGCAAAAGGTCGGGGGGGGGGGGGGGGGGGGTTCTGGTGACTTTCTTAGAGAACATTCTACTCCAAAATGAACAAAAAATAAAATTATGCTGACACCATCTAAAATATAATTTCCACCTCCAGAAATGAGTCCATTAACAACATCCATTATTTGTGTAAATTATTTTAACATATTGGACCATGCATATAGCCTATGCGTGGTCCATATCACCAGGTATGCTATTAGCAAGAAGCATTATCACCTGTAGTCCAACGGATGCAGCATAGTGGCTATAAATAAATAGGCTGAGGTATGGGGTTGCCCATCTGCATTTAACCTATTGGGCTAATCATTAGCCAGATTTCAAATGTGATCTTTTAACTAATTAGTATCATATTGATGAATTTGATGTCCCAAAAAACTTGCATAAACACAGTGAATATAATGTAGCTACCCATTAGGGTAACTTGGGGTAATACTCCTCCTTCCTGTACTTCTCACAGAACCCACTTAATGTCCAAAAAAATTCACCCCAACACTTTCCCTGCTTGCCACTACTCTTGAGCACCCCAAAAATATAATTAGTCTGATCACAATTTTTTAAGTCACTCCCCCAAAAATTATTTTGATGTAGTGTAGCGTGTTACCCCAAATTACCCAGGAGTTGAGAAATAAATAGAGTAGGAGTGGAAAGCAGGGATCCCCCTCTTTCGAACAAAGGCCATTAAAATTCCTGTTTTCCCCGCA